ATGAAGTTAAGAATCAACTAAGCCGAAAGATTAAGGCTTTAACAAGTGATCGTAGTGGTGAGTATGAATCGTCATTTACTGAGATTTGTGCTCAATTTGGGATTATTCACCATACCATAATGCCTTACTCCCCTCAGTTAAATGGTGTTGCTAAGCGAAAGAATAGAACGTTAAAAGAAATGATGAATACAATGTTAATAAGTTCTGGGTTGCCACAGAACTTGTGGGAGGAAGCAATTTTCTCAGCGAATTACATATAGAATACCTCGGAAGAAAGTAGACAAGACTCCATATAAATTATGGAAAGACTGCAAGCCTTCTTATAATTTCCTACAAATGTAGGGGTGTCTTGCAAAAGTGATGGTACCTACACCTAAGCGGGTTAGGATAGGTCTGAAAAACGTGGATTGTATATTCATTGGTTATGCATAGAATAGTAGTGCATATAGGTTTATTATGCACAAGTTTAATATTTCAGATATCCACAAGAATACCATAATGGAGTCAAGGAATGCGTCATTCTCTGAAGACGTATTTCCTTGCCGAACCCGATAAGAGGATCAAAGTTCTGAGAAGGAACTTGAAGATGATCAAGTAGATGATCAAGATAAGGAAGTAGATAAGCCAAGAAGGAGTAAGAGGGCTAGAACTGCCAAGTTTTTTGGGCCGGACTTTTTGACTTATATCTTAGAAGGAGAACCTCAAACTTTTCATGAAGCTATGACTTCACCTAAAAGTCCTTTATAGAAAGAAGCAATTACGAATGAAATTGACTCCATCTTACAGAACCATACTTGAGAGTTGGTTGATCTTACCCCATGAAGTAAGGCCTTGGGGAGTAAGTGGATCTTTAGAAGAAAGATGAAAGCAGATGGGTCAATTGATAAGTATAAAGTTAGGCTAGTTATCAAAGGATACAGGTAGTGAGAAGGTCTGGATTACTTTGATACATATTCACCTATGGCAAGGATTACATCCATTCGCATGGTGATTGTGATAACCGCTTTACGTGGCTTAGAGATACATCACATGGATGTAAAGACAACTTTCTTAAATGGAGACTTAGGGTTGGTTTGGGGTGTCCTAAAAAAGTGCACTTTTTGTCTTTTTACGAAAAGATGTGCAGAAAAGTAGAGAGGTGATGTGATGAAAAAAAGATAAAAAGATAAAAAGATGGATTATATAGTTCATGCCAAACCAACCCTTAGATGAAGCAATCTATATGGAGCAACTCGAGGGGTTTTCAGCTCTAAGGCAAAATAAAAAAGTTTGTAAGCTTGTCAAGTCATTATATGGTTTGAAGCAAGCTCTTAAGTAATAGCATGAGAAATTTGACAACGCTATGTTGTCAAATGGATTTAAAATCAATGAGTGTGACAAATGCGTATATGTCAAAGACACAGACAGAGGTTATGTCATTTTGTATCTATACATCGATGACATACTCATTATTGGTAGTAATGATGAAATGATTAGAATTACCAAGGGGTTGTTAAACTCTAAGTTTGACATGAAAGATATGGGCCTTGCAGATGTCATTCTGGGCATTAAGATTACCAGAATATCTGGTGATATTGTACTTTCTCAGTCTCACTATGTTGAAAAGATACTTGAGAAATTTGGTAAATCAGATACAAATGTGTTTAGGACATTAGTAGACGAGTCTACACTTGACCAAGAATAATGGTGAGAGCGTCTGTCAGCTAGAATATTCTCAGGTCATTAAAAGTTTGATGTATCTGATGAGTTGTACAAGGCCGGATATAGCCTACTATGTTAGCAAGCTTAGTAGATACACGAGTAATCCGAATGCTACTCATTGGAGGGGCATTATGTAGGTGTTAAGTTATTTACGCTAAACCTAGAATTATGGGCTGCATTATAATAGATATCCAACGGTACTAGAAGGATATAGTGACGCTAATTGGATATTTGATAAAAGGACTCCAAATCTACTAGTGGTTCTGTGTTTACCCTCGAAGGGGTAGATGCATCATGAAAATCTTCCAAACAAATGTATATATCTAGACCAATGATAGAATTTGAGTTTATTGCTTTGGATAAAACAACTGAAGAAGTTGAATGGCTTCGCCAGTTCGTTGAGGATATTCTACGTTAGCCGAAACCTATGCCTACTATCTGTATTCATTGTGATAGCCAATTAGCGATTGGACGGGCACAAAGTAATACGTATAATGGAAAGTCTAGACATATCCGTCGTAGACATAATTCTATACGACAACTACTCTCTAATGGAGTCATCTCTCTAGATTATGTAAAGTCTAAGGACAACATTGCAGATTCGTTAACCAAAGGGTTAACAGGAGAGTTCATAGAAACATCGTCAAGAGGAATGGAGTTAAGGCCTTTAATAATGTTATCGGAACGAAAAACCCAACCTAGTTGACTAGAGATCCCAAGATCTAGGTTTAAAGGGACAATCTAATTTCGTGTAATGGGTAAGTCACTGAAGAGGTAAATCATTTTGTCTATTCCTTTGTATAGTGATACCCTGTAGGGGTGAAAGGTTAAGCTAATGCTTTTAATGACCTAAGTGATATGAATAATCAACTGTGGTATAATGAGATACCTTATATAGGTCACCTATGTGAGTGTGAAGTAGGATTGTTTCTTTAAGAATTGGTAAGGTCGAATTCTTTAAAAACACTTACTGAACCAGACTAGTGTTCCAGGGCCATATCAGATACACCAGTGCAAACAAGAACAATGGTTAGACTAACTCCTGTGCGAGATCTGTTGTCTTGATTTAAACAAACGGCAGAACAGTTCAAAACATTACGTTCACTAGTCAACTAGTAAATTCGATAGGCTTTTACTACGAAAGATTCAAGGCCAACAACTACCTTTTCTAATGTAGTGTGAGTCTGTGTGTTCTCTCTTCGAGTCTTTGTTGTAAATGTTGTTCGTTTTCTTTATTTGATCAATTTTATTTATGTAGGAGATTGTTGGAAAAAATGATTTTATGGTGACTTTAATGTGAAATTAAAGTAGGTCCTAACCCTTGGTTGATGTGGGATTAAATGGATTTAGATTCTTTGTAACAAGATTTTTACACCACAAAAAGAATGATAAAAAATCATTAAGAATTGAATAAGAAATTGTCTCATAAAGTTGGTCTCATGAATGAGGTATTGAGAATTATGTATAACTATCAATCCCACATTGATTGTAGGTGAAAGTTTTGATGGGTATTTAAACCTCAAGATTTTGATAAGGGCATGAGCCCTTTAGGGCATCCAAATTTTTCGAAGGAAAGGAGTTATGGATACTTTAAGGATGGACTAGGGCCAAAACTATGATCCAAAACTATGATCTAAATTGGTTATGCAAAAATTGCCACACACGCGCGCTTGCGCCACCTACGAAGACCGGATCGGGCAGGGGCCGTGGTCCGTGATCCTTGGGTCATGGATTTTGGATATTCGGCTTGTGCTTAAGGCTTAAGGCTTTGGGTTAGGTTTGGGCTAGACTGGATTGGTGGTCCACCAACCTAATCTTTTTGGGTCAAGTGGCTGCAAATATGTATATACACATATGTGTATATTATGTGCAACTCACACATTGAATCCTCATCAGTTTTGTGCATTACTCCAACAGTTTTACAAGAGTAATGGGCTACATTGGTTGCTAGTCTTCATGGTTGGAGGCTCCTCCTCTCTCCCTCATAGTATATAAATAGAGACCAACTTCTTTGGTTGACACACAAAATTTTTTGACTTCCGTATTATACAGTCAGTTTGCTCTTATAATTTTCTTCCTGTGGGAGAGAGTGCTGCCATTGTCGGTTGCCAAATCTAACAGAAGGTTCTTCTGTGTTAGCGAATCTACACCGTCATATCTTGGGAGACAGACGCCGACATACTTCCAGCATCCACGGTGAAACGGAGAATCTGTTTTAAGGAGATTATGGTATTACACAGATTTTAGTTTGCTTATGTATTTTTGTGCAATATGATTGCAATTTCCAACATGTTTTCTTATTCTGTAATTTAGTTTGATTAATTGTAAATTTATTTATCTTATTTAATTACACAATTTAACCAACAAAGGCTTTGTTTGGCAAGAGCTAAACGGGGTTTTTTTGGGCTATTTTAGCCACAAAAGACAAAATAGGCTATTTTAGCCACAAAAAAAAAAATCACATCTAACCCATAATCATTATATTCTTCTCTCATAAAAAAAGTCAAAAAAGCCAAAAAGCCAAAAAGCCAAAAAACCCTTCCCAAACCAAACTTTTTAGCCCACGCTAAAATAGCCAAAAAAGCCAAAAAACCAAAAAGCCAAACCACTTCCCAAACGGAGGCAAAATGTATCGTAAAATAGGTGTAAATGTTTTAAGTGTCGTTATATTCAACTTTTAGCATGTTCTTGTTACCCTAATAACACCTATTGTTCTCTTTTTGTTCCCTAACAACACTTGTTAGCAAGGCGCTTTTGTTATAATAGAAGATCATTTCTAAAAGATTGTAGATTTGATCAAATAATGAAGCCATGAAGTTTTCCTCACTTTCTTAGGGTTTGTACTTTCTTAACATGTGCTTCTTTTTCTTAGTGATCATGGTTGTTTCCAATGGCAAGGCCATCATGTTAGTCATGGTTGTTTCAATCATTCTAGTCTTCTCTACCTCTCTGTTCATGGTAAAATACAGTCACTCAAGTAACCACTATATGGGGTTGAAATGAAATTATAACTTAAACCTTGTCTTGACAGAGTGTCTACAAATGAAATTTGGCTATAACTTCGCTTGAATTGAGAGAACGTGTTAGAATGCCTCCAAATATTTCATGTCTCGAACCAAAAAAATTAAAAAATGACCAATCCCCAAAGCACCTATGTACATGCAAGTTATGACACATGGGTCGTCTATCTTTTTTTAACGCTTAGCACAAAAATCATAATAAAAGAGTACCCAAAACATGAAATGTCATTGCCTCAATTTAGTGCAAAATGTGTGCATAAAATAAATAATGGGACAATATGCAAAAACAAATTCCATTGAACTGAGAGAAAGCCCCCTCCAACCGAGCAAAAGGGACAGATCTAGGTGAAACACACAAGACATAGACAAACTTGCAAACGACTACAAAAGCTTGTGCATAACAATGCATGAAAAAACTTATTACATGCCCATAAACAAATTCATTGCACTTGTCACCACAACTTTGCTAATACTAAACTATTAGAAACTAAATAGCTTATATATAGAGTTCATTTAAGATTGTGATCTCCCCATGTGAAAGGTTTCAAAATTTTGGGTGAGATCAAACTAGAAAACTGCATCATAATGCCACACCATCAAACAAAGATTTTCAAGAAACCCTAGCAATGGCCTTGCACACCAATGGGTTCTTCATTTCCATGGAGAGCTTCAGCACCTCAGACAAATCCACACCACCATCACTAGCCACCCACTTGAAGCTCTGAAGCATCTGTCCCAACCACAGCTGAACCGTAGCCAGCCCCATCGCTTTCCCAGGGCAGACCCTCCTCCCTGACCCAAATGGAGCCAACCTGAGATCCGAACCCATAATCGCCACATCATCTTCCAAAAACCGCTCGGGTTTGAATTCATTGGGCTCAGACCAGACTTGTTCGTTGTGGGTTATGGCCCACATGTTGACCATGGCAGTTGTGCCGCCGGGGATGAAGTGGTCCCCGATGTGGGTGTCGTGGATGGCAAGGCGGGCCCAGGAGAGGAGTGGGCCTGGAGGGTGCATTCGTAGGGTTTCCTTGACAACAGCTTGGAGGTAAGGGAGGTTGGGGAGGTCGGAATCGGAGACTGATAGGGTTTTTCCAACGGCAGAGTCGATCTCAAATTGAAGTTTGGATTGAATATCAGGATGTAGAACCATTCTTGCAATTATCCACTCCAATAGAATTGCCACTGTATCAGTCCCCCTGAAGATCATTTCCTGAATACAAAAAGAAACATCTCACTACATGCATAAATCACTAATATTTAAATTTTGGACTTCAGACACTAATACAAATTATTTAAAATTATGACATCTAAAATGGGGACAAAAATGTACTACAGATCAAAACCACAGAAGGAAAAAAAAATGTTCCTAGAAGAATTAAAGCATAAGAAACAAAACAACAAAAAGGATAATAGATATCAGTCCTATTAACAACCAAAATAGAGGCAAATATTATTCAGATTCTCCATGTCTTTGGATGCCCAGAAAGAGAATGAAACAGATAATAAGATAAATTTGGTTCAAATCTTTTAAAAAAAAAATAAAAAAAGAAAGGTCAAACACACAACAATGGGAAATATGTAGCAGCCTATTGAAGTATTCAATCCATTTCCAAATATATATCTTAAGTAAATAGTAAAATGCAAGAAAATCTCATATTAAACTATAAATAATCTGATTAACCAGCATAGCAAATTTTGCAAAGACAACTAAGCATGTTGATTACTACTAGTTCTAAGATAGAGACTGAAGTAAAGAGAGGGATTAGAGAGAAATACCCAAAGAACAGCAATCATATCAGAGTCAGTGAGCTTGTTCTCATTCTCCAAATCAAGCAACACATCAACAAAATCACCAGCGCTCTCATCACTTACAACTCCACCATTCTGAGCCCTCTTCAGCCTATGCTCATCTATGATCTTCCCAACATACACATTCACTTTCCCAACCAACTCTCTACACCTCTTCCTCACTCCTTGCAAATCCATCCAACCCAGAATAGGAAAATGATCACTCCAATTGAATATCCCAAGAAGCTCATACCCTTCACTCACCAAACCCTCAAGCTCAGACCCTTCAGCCCCATTCCCATTCTCACCAAACTCATAAGACTTCCCAAATACACTCATCATCACATTGTTCAAAGACCCAAAATGCAAAACTCTCTTCACCTCCACAACTCCCTCTCTCTCCATCAAACCCTTTACCTGATCCACCATTCCGAGCCCAATCATTCTCCGAAACCCACCGAAAGAGGCGAGTCGTTTCGGACTGAACAAATGGGTCGCCGAAATCCTCCTCAGATTCCTCCAGTACTCACCATAGGGAGCGAAACCCATGGCACGGTGAAAGAGAAGCTCGTAGGCCGACTCTTTCACTGGCCGATCCGCGAAGGCGGAGCTGCTAAGAATGTCCTTGGCGGTGTCGGGTTGGCTTGAGATTACGAAACGAGTAAAGCCAATTGAAAACGCCATTAACGGGACAGCTTTGCAGGACTCGGAGAGCTTGGCGAGGACTCTGTGAGTTAAAGAGCTAGTGAAAGCGAAGACTAGGCCAAGAAGAGGAAGGCCTGAAGGTCCGGGAATGGCAGTCCTGGCATGCACTCGAGCCTTAGAGAGAGCCCAAGCGAGGCCACCAGGGGAGAGCCAGAAACCAAAGACAGCAGCAAGCACAACAACGCAGAGAAAGAGCTCGACGCTGAGAAGGGAGGAGTACCCAGATTGAGGAATGACGAGAGAATAGTATTCAGATGACATTTTTGCTGGTTTTTTAGAGCGATAAAGGAAGGTTTCTAGAGAGAGAGAGAGAGAGAGAGAGAGAGAGTTTGTAGTTAGGGGGTATTTGGTTAGAAATGGATTGAACCAGAAGAAGTTGGTGGTGGAGTGAGTGAGGAATGAAGACAATATGGAGAACGAATGTCGTATTTATATAGGGAGTCATGGGGTAGACACATTTGAATGCCATATGGGATTACTGCTGGTGTTGACCTCAGTATTGGTGTTGACCTTGGTATTTATTTTTTAAAAATAACGTTTTGAGATTTTAAAAATTTTATTAAATTTTCATTAATTATTTTATATTAAATTGAGATTAATGTGAGATATTTTGATAAAAATTTTAATAGAATTTTTAAATTTTTAATATTTTTTTTAATTATTATTAGAATAGTATTTTAAAATTTTTAAATCTTTTTTTTTAAAAAAATTAACCATCTAGTTTTAAAATTGTTATTATTTTATACACAAATATTATTAAAATGGAAAAAGGTTGGGACTTCTTTTTTAGAACTCCCACCATCCTTAATGTATTGTGATTGGTCAATTTTTTATTTTTCCCTTCTATCTTTAATTGATATGTGTCTGTGAAGGTTGTGGAAGTAAAAAAAAAAAAGACATCTGTATCATTTTTGTATTAAAATATATGAATATTATACTATTAAAAATAATTTTATTTTTTTAAATAAATAAATTCCACGTATAATCAAACAAAACAAATGACTGCAAATCATTGAGGTGAGACCACAATGGTATATGCCACATGTGGCCAATAGCACCTTCGACGGATAAGAGACCTCTTTTAGTTATAAAATTTGTTATATTTTATTTTATTTTATTTTACCCTCAAGAAAGGTATGTATAATTTACCATTTAGAAATTATCATATGTCAAACATATGTGTATCATCATCTGCTCATTATTTTCTTATTTTTATGATATGTTTGTGTAATTGATCAGTTACACCATATAATTATTACATTTGGAAAACATAACCGTGGTTTAAGTAAAGTCGCCCCCATTATTTACTGTCCCTGAATTTGTGACAACCGTTATTTGTAGGGAGTGATCGCCATTTGATTTTGGACCGTTCACGGATGGTTTTGGGCTCGTTCATATATGTGTTTTGAAAAAAATTTAATTTGTAATTGCCTATAGTGCAAGTTGTGATTTTTACGATTTATGTGGATAGGATTCACATATGTACAGGTGGTTGCCGGTGGTTTTCGGATTAGACTTTTTTTTAAAAAAATTTATTTTAGAACTTTTTTTTTCTTTTCATTTTGTAAATATTTATTTTGGGCCCCCTTTTTCTCTCATTTTCTAAAATGCTCAAACATTAATAATTAATGAATTATAACTTATAAAATTAAAAACACAACAAAATCAATTCTTAATACAAGCAAATCATTCAAAACTAGCGGTAACTCGTGCGATGCACGGAAAAATAGACTATATATATTTTGTGTGATAAATAAATCATCTTAATCTTAAATTATATCTTAATAGTGACAAGTCATAATATTAAGCCATCTAGGTAGATATTAACAATAATTAACTCACAAAATTTTACAATAAAATTTGATATGCATAAGAAATTATTAATTACAAAAGTTGTTGATTATAATAGTATCACAATCACTTGATAACATAAATAACTTGTATCAAACTAAACAAAACATTAAAAGAGAGAAATTCTATAAGCTCAGAAAAGTTATCATAAATTTACTTGGACTTTTAAATCAATGGTGTATATTATTATTGTGGGATCAAATTATGAATAAATATCAACTTTTAATTATAATTTATAAGTAGTTTTTAAAAAAAATTTAATCTAAGTTTGTTGCCTTACTTATAAAAAAAAACTTCTCAAACAAATCATTAATTGATTATATTAGCAACTCTCTATCTTTGATTTCCTCTATCAATGACACACTCATATCATATCAAAGTATAAATCATTCTCCATAGTTTGAATAATACTTGCATAGTTCCTACATCATTTTAAAAAAATTAATCAAGATAAGAATGTCATACATATTAAAAATTATATAAGAGAATAGTTTTAATCCATTTTATTTATAAAAAATGATAAAAAATTATTTGAATTGTACTTGAAAAAATATAACAAATGATAGCTTTAATCATTATATACCAAAAAAAAAAAATATATCGGTTACTCAACGAAAAAATGGTCAAATACAAATAGAGTCATGAACATTGAATTAAATCATATGGGCTCTAAATTGATAGTATAATCTAGCAAATCAATTAATAATAACATAGAGATATTGACAATATGTAGTACTTCCCTATCATCTTTGTATTATATTCATTAATTTCATATGTTATATAAAAGTTTTATTCGTCTCGATCCTTCAATAAAATACGGATCAAGAAAACAAATTTGATAAGAAATTGATTCTAACTTAATTATCGAAGAAACAAAAATTTCAAAGAGAGATTTAGAGTGGGATTGAAGAAAATATTATAACGAATGACAGCTTTATAAAAAAAATTTTAAAAAAACATAACAATGACTTAATGCAAATTATTTTTAATAAATAATAGAAAGAATCTCAAATTATTACATTTTATAAATCTAGTGAGAAGAATTAATTTTGTGAGATTTTTGTGCTACCTTCTCCCATGTAGCTTTATTATTTCATTATTAATATTATTCTCATTCAGAGCGATAATTTTTTTTTTTTTTATAATCTTTATCATTTGGTAGATAATAATGAATAATAAAAATTATCAAGAGAAGGTTAAGAATTTAATAGGAGATAAGAAGTTATAGATAAGAGCATTTCATAAGATAAAAAATTTAAAATAAAAAAAGATAATATGTGATAGGAGAAAAAAAAATGAGTAAATCAAAATAAAGATTTAGATATATATGTTTTTGATAGATATATAGATTAACAAATCATATCTTTATCCAATTTATTATTTTAATTTTTTTTAAACAATTGTTTAATCTTTATCTTTATTTGTAGTCCATGAAATTAATTTTTATAAATTATTTATCAATTTTCATATGTTTATTTATCTATAAGTCATGAAATTATTTTTTTAAATAATTTTTAAACTTTTTATCTTTATCTATAGGTCATGAAATAAATTTTCATAAATTATTTATGAGTTTTATATGTTTATCTATAATGAAATTAATTAAAGTACAAAATGAGGGAGGGGGGGGAAAGAGAGTAATTTTGTTTTTTTTTAAAAAAAAATCAATTATTTAATCTTTATCTTTATTTGTAGGCCATGAAATTAATTTTTATAAGTTATTTATCAACTTTTATTTGTTTATTTATGGGAAGAAATTTTAAATTATCTATAAGTTATGAAATTAATTTTTTTAAATTAATTGTTTATTTTTTATCTTTATCTGTAGATTATAAAATTAATTTTCAGTTTTTATATGTTTATCTATATGGAGGAATTTTGAAATTCAAATCTTTATCCATAAGTAATGAAATTAATTTTAATTTTAATTAATCAAACAAATAAAAAATGAAGAAAAATATAAAACATGAAAGACAATCAAATAAGGTTGTCACGTAGGAAAGAGAGTGTTTTAAAATTATGAGAATTTAGGAATAAATATTTGGAGGCTTTTGACAAAACAACTACATTTGGTTATATATATAGTATAGATCTTAAACTTTTAAATCAAATCATAAACTAACACAAGCACATTTTTCAAAATTCTAAACTAAATTATTAATTTCATTTACTATTTACTACCCAACAATACAATTAAAGTAAAATCATTCAAAATTCTAAGCTTCCCTAAAAGTAATTATTCATTAACTTTTACATTTATCCAAAATGCAATAATAAAATAACAACAGTCCAGGTTTTAATTTTATTTTTTTTTAAAAAAAAAGTCTAAATGTGGCTAGGTTCTTGCGGATGCGGGTTAAACCCGCAACCCGACATAATACCCGCACCCCACAATTATGTCATATTTCAAATCACATCCACTCGCATTGTGTTTGCAAAACTATCCATTTGTATATAGATCGGTTCGGGTTCGGCGGTTCAGATAACCCTATGCCCAGCCCTAGCTGTAACCACTGCTTGTCCGAGTCTGGAAAGCATGAACTCTCCCTTAATCATATGCCATGTGTCTCTATGCAAGCATGGACCTCACCTATATTGGTTTAAAGTAATGCTAGAGATCCTAAAAATTTTATCAATTTTTTACTAAATGTCTTACATAGACGTGGGACTCATATAGGATCCATATAGTGTTGGGGAATTTTTAAAATGAGTTTTCAAATTTATTGTTTAGTTTTTGGGTGTTTTCAAAACTTTTTTTGTTTTTCTTTGGAAAACTTGAAATAGGCTTGGGGATTTTTGGTGCAGATCATTTGCACACGTGCACGAGCGTGGCGTGGGCTGTGTAACGTTTGATGGCGCACTTTGCACTTACACGGACGCAAGGCGCCTTGAGGGCGTTTTCTTATTTGCATCGGACATGTTGGATCTAATGTGGCATAGGTGACGTGGAATACAATAAGCTCTACGTAGCAATGATGTGGCGTCTGTTGGTGATGAGTCAACTAGCTGATCGAATAGTTGCGTGTCTGATCTGGAACGGTTTGATCATAACCGTTGATTGGAGATATGCGCGATTGTACAGATGAGATGGCACCCGATCGTGATCAGGTGTGATCAGTCAAGGCAGTTATTCGGTGTGAGAATGATCTGCACCATAGATCGTCGATTCAACGGTCAGATCTGATTGGGTGCGATCAAGGGTCATGACCATTCGATTAGATGCATTAAGGCCTATAAATAGCCATTTCAATGATCCAAAATTCAGAAAGCATTCTTGCAGTTCTCTCCCTCTCTCTCTCTCCCTTTTGATTTAGAGTTTTCGATCAAGAGTTTCTTAAGTAAGTTTCTGCTTTTCTTACTGGTAATCAAATTCTGCAGACTTGATTATCAATATCTTGGTTTTCTTGATTATATCAAGAGTATTCTGATCTACTATCGTCAGTGCAGACGTCGGTAGATTTGATTTTTGGATCAGGCTTTATTGTATTCTGAAGGTGAATTTGCTGTAACCTCCTGCATACCTTTTGGTGGGTAC